AAGAGTAGAGGCCAAGGGACCGATGTTGAGTGTTGTGGACCCCACAGTCACTGAAACTCAAGCCAAATAACAGGCCAGGTGGCAGATGGGTGTCCAGATGACCTGGGCTGACCATGCCTTGGACTCAGTGGCATTAGATATGACTGAGCTTCCCGGCAGCCAAAATGAAAAGGGAAACATGGCAGGTTATGAGATTCCTTAATAATTATCAAGAAAAAGCATAGAATCCCTCATAGGGAGCAGAGATTTTCCAGGACGGAGGCCCTGTGGCAGGTGGACACAGCAACTCGAGTTCATAGACCAGCTCTGACCCTGCCCCTCACCAAGAGCCTGGGCCACAGCCCTGAGCCCAGCCCAGCGAGTCCTCATGGTCAGGGAGTATGTGCAGCCTGTGAGGGTCCAGTCACACCAGGGACACTAGGGAGGCTGGAGCTGCACACCCTTCAACCCCTCTAACAGGCCACTGGCCGGGGTCTTGTGGAACAGCAACCGGCAGGGGCCCCAGAGAACTCGGCTTCCCAGATCAGGCTAAGAGGGCTTCAAAGCTGGCTCCCCACCGCCCACAGGGAGGTGTCCATGGAGGCCGCCCAGCCAGCGCCCCGCCCCCCACAGCCAAGGTTAAGCTGATTAGAGGACAGCTCAGAGGGACTTCCCCCCTCATGCTGGAGACTTCCAAGCAGCACAGTGGGATCCTGAGATTCCAAGCTACTACAAAGGCTGGAGCACGGGAGGGAGTGTAAACCCACACGGTCAGCGGTCAGCGTGGAGTGGAACGCTCGGCCTCTGCCCCAGAGCAGGGAGAGGTGTATCCGAGAGACCTCAAAACAGCTTTGGGTCCCCAAGATTAGAGTCGAAAGGATCAGGACAGGCCTCTCAGAAACATCGCCTGGCTGGCAGGAAGGGCTGGTGCTAGATGCCCACCTTCAGCCCGGGCATCACTGGGGCAGGGTCCAGGCTGTCAGCACAGCCCCCTGGAGCAGGATGCTGCCAAGGAGCCAGCCTCAAGGCCAGTCCCCATATGACCTCTCCACAGGACAGACAGTCACAGTGCTGGGGAGGGGAGCGGCATGCCGACATCCCAGAAGGCCAGCCCAAAGACTCACCCTGACACTGCCTGGGCGATGACCCCTGGCGAGGCAAGGTCCCCACCATCCCGTGCCAGAGGCTTTGCAGGAGGGTTGCCTTTGAGTGGCTGGCTGGGTTGAATGTTTTAAGCCACAAAGATGGGTTAGCACAGTGGTGTTTAAGCGTGACTAAGCAGCTGGTTAAGAAGGGAGAGCCCTCCAGTTCCCCCTGGGGTCTTTGTCTCCAGGTGGCAGACGTTCAGGGAGTTGGGGTGGGGGGCGGGGGGTGCTGCATCCAAAGGTACAGAGGAGGTTCCAGGACTGGGAGGTGGATGGGGGCCTGCCCTCATCCAAGGAAGCCGAGGAAGTCACAGAAGAGGGACGGTGGCAGTGGGGGAGATGGAGACAGCAGGTCTGGGAGCTGAGGAGGCAGACTGGGTGCCGTGGGAGGGAGAATAGGGCTGAGTCTCAACCTGGGGCAGGGACCAAGCCCCTGTCGGAAGAGAACCGGGCGGGAAGGAGTCCCCTCCCTGTTCTCGCCAGCAGAGTGGATTGTCTGCGGCTGGGAGGGGAGTGAGGCGGGGGAGCACACCTCACGCGGGCCGGCGGGGGCTCGCCGCGGCGGGGGCCGCACACTGGAGACTGCGTTTCGGTGCATCTGTTTTCCTCTGTGACCCTGAGTCTGTGCACTGCCCAAGGACACAGAGGAGAGGGGGCCGTCGCCTGAAAACTGGGCCCTTCCTGCCTGGCCAGGGTGGAGGTGCCAGGCCGCCTGCCCACCTGGGTCCTTTCTCCTCCCTCGTGAGAAGCCAGGTGCTCTCTGCCTCTGTGGGGGAGCGGGGAGGGGCACAGAGACAGCCCGTCAGGAGCCCAGCAAGGCTCCGAGGATCTCAGTGGAGGCCCGCTGAGGCTGCAGACAGGCGACCAGACGCCATGGCCCCTCAAAGACAATGGCCAGGGGGCTTGCCCAGCAGAGGGCTTAGCCTGGGGGGCTGAAGCAGGGCTTCCAGGGAGCCTGGCCCAGGGCAGGACAGGTGATGAGGAAGTGGACAGGACAGGTAGGAGTGGGTGGCAGAGGAGGCAGGTGGCTTCCAAGGTGGGCCCCTGGGGGCCACAGATCTTCCCCCATGGGAACCTGGAACCCTGACGGTGCAGTCCTACATGGAAGCCACTACTCCAGGGAGCTGGAGTCTAGGGTCCAAGTGGGGTAACCCTGCTCCCAGGCCCAGGGCCCGCCATAAGCTTTGGCCTCTAGGTGGCGGGAGTGAGCCACAGACCAGCCTGCGGGCCAGATATCCACCACCCAACCCCGAGGGAGGTCCAGCAGGTTCTGGCCACAGCGGTGAAGCCCCCAGAGGGAGGCTGTGCTTAGCCCTGCAGAGGAGCCCTTGCCTGTGGAGGCTGCAGGTCGGTCCCGCCCTCACCAGGGCTCAGGCTGGAGTAGTACTGGCCAACCCCAAACTCCCAACACCCCACCTAGAAGTCCCTGGTCCCCAGGGCCCTTATGAGGGCATGCCCCCAGAACTCTGCTCAGGACATTCACAGCTCACCCCAGGCCCCTTGTGGACCTTCCCAACCTTGGGAACCTCCTCCTCCAAGGAGCTTCCCCCAACGAGCTGCCTGGGCCCCCAGCCCAACTGTACCCGCAGAGAGCTGCGCCCGGGGTCCTCCTTTCAGGCTGTCACATGAGGCTGGCCAAAGCTTAACGGGGCCACCAGGGCTGGGCCCTTCCGGGTCCCGCCCGGCCCTTCTCCAGGTGAGGAACCTCACTTCCTCTGGTACGTCCTGGGCATGCACATACACTCGACCTGAGTCACACGGGGATGCAGGAAGTTGATCACACATGCCACACTGGGCACACCCAAGGGCCTTCCAGGCACATGCAAATCTAAGAACGGCCTGTGTGCCACCCTCTGCCACATCCCTAGCCGCAAGACACCCCGTGGGTGCCCAGTAAATACATGCCACATGAAGGAAGAAGCAGGGGCTCGTAGGAAGGGACCCACTGCCCAGCAGAGGAGCCCACAGACAGCCTGAGCCCCACCTCCAGAGAAGGCCAGCTCCACTGACCGCCCACTGCTCGGGCCCGAAGGGCTGACACAGGCCCCGGCAAGGAGCGGGCTCCATCCTCAAGACCACAGCCCCTCCCCCTCCTGCTGAGATGGGCAGAGGAGTGGGTGTCGGGGAGAGCTGAGGACCAGTTGAACCCAACAAGGGTCGCCAAGTCAAGGGGGGCCAGGCTGGGTTTGGAGGCTGTGAACCCAGAAATGTGGATTGGTGGGGGGACTCCTGATTAGAGGTCAGGGGTGAATAGGCATCAGCAAGGAGCAGGGAAGGGGACCCCCCAGGGTGGGGACTGCCACAATTACCTTCTCAGACCCACTGCCAGGGGGCCTCCCTCAGTTCCCATGTTGGTCCCAAGGCGCACCCCCAAACCCCTCTGCCCGGGGCTGACACCCCTCGGCTCACCCCGAAGGCTATACGCCCTCCCTTCATGGAGGGAGACCTATGGGTCTGCCCTCAGAAACCCCCCGCAGGAGCCTGGCTGTGTCCTGGGGCCTCTGAGGGGGCAGACACCCCCAGGGTCCGCCCCTGGCAGCCCAGGCCGCACCTTTGGCCCAGAGGCCTTTCCCTCCCCTATCCTCAGTCCAGGGAAACATCGGAAGCTCAGGCCATTTATTTTTCTGTTTGTGTCCCCAGCCCCCTGCCAGCACAAAGCCGGCGTGACCCGGGGGCTCGCAT